TGCTAACCAGTGCACCAAGGTGAGTCATGTAAGAAGATTTTTAAAAACTAGGAAATAAAAAATCCTACATATTACATACTTCTCAATGAATTCTAAGAAATGCAAAGAAATGGGAAAAATCAAGCACACTAGAATAAAAAGATCAAAGAATAAAGATATCCATGGAGATCATCCAATCAATTCAAGCATGCAAAGAAACCAATCAAATAAAGAGGTGAATCACAACAATGATAGAACCTCATAAGATATGCTCTCTAAAGTGTTTATACTCATGTGTCTTAGGTTGTAAATATTCGCACTCAATGCACTTCATGAAAACAAACACAACCATAAGCTTGATACGTTTCTAACATCAACATGACCAACACATGCACATAGTGATCAAAAGGACTTTTCAAGGTTGTAATGGGGCCAAGGACAAGGTAGGATAAAATATGGAATATGTAGCTTATAAACCAAGGGAATAAAGGAGCAATGGGGAATAAGTAAAAAGTAAGACAAAATCAACGCCAAAATAATTAAATCAACCTCTAATTCCAATCCTCTCAACCATTTTTTTGCCACACTGCACTTTTATTCACATTTGTTTTTCTTTTGTTTTGTTTCTCTTTTTGTTGCTTTTCTTTTTGCTATTTTGTTTTTTTTTTGTTTTTCAATACACCACACTTATGTACAAAAATGTATTAACCAATGATACATAACCAAGAATTAGAAGAAATGAAGAACAAAGCACCCTTACTTGCTTAATACCCATTCCCAAAAAATTCCAAAGCTCGAAAATTCCCTAAGGTTAGGATAATCATGGTTTTTCACTTATAGGCTTGCAATGAGCTATATAACAAAGAACGAGGTAAAAAGGCTCAAAGGGGCTAGCAAATGATAATTTCATTCAAGGTAGGCTATATGACATGTGGCTTATTCAAAAGAAATGTCTAAATCACTTCAAAATGTGCAATATGAAAATCAAGTATCAACAAGAAACATGTCAAGTTCTAGAGTACAAGTAATCAAGAGTGCAACAATCACACATGAAAGAATATTATTAGATGGCATACATCAATCCATCCTCAATTAAGGCTCAAAATCTCACAAGGGACAAGACTATCACAATTGCCTCAACCTCTCAATTCTAAAAAGTAACTTAGCACACAGAAAATTCATGGATTCACAACACTATATATTAAGACTCAACTAAAAGAAAGCATGAGAGAAAATGCCCAAAATGTAAGCAAAATCTAATAATCAAAGAAAAACATGCATCAACAAAACCTACATTAATCTCCCCTCACACTTAAACTACACATTGTCTCAATGTAGCACATACATAATATCCACACAATTATATCAGCAATTATAATTGGACAAGTGCAATAAAAATAAAGAAGGAGAGAAAGAAAGAAAGTCTCCCTAAATTATGGAGGGAGGAAATCATATTCATAAGCAGCAAGGACAGTCCCCAAAGCATAAAGAGAAATGTCGCACTGAAGGTCAAATGAGGGTGTCCAATCAGGTGCCTGCAAAATAGATGGAATGAAAGTAGAAAAGCTAGGCTTTGTTGCGGCTTGCACCTTAACAATAATCAGATTGTTGTATGATTCCTGCATCAATTGTGTTAGTGCAATATGAATGTGTAACAGGAGAATCAATAACAATATTCAGAAACTCATCAATGCAAGAGTCACACATCTCAGAATCAGTGCATGCATGACAAGTGTACAGTGAAGTGCAATTTGAATCAACATCAATGTTGAAAAACTCATCAATGCAAAAACTACATGTTTCAGAATTAGTGCATGCATGAAAAGTGTATGAATCAGTTAATGATGGAGCATGAAAATCATGAAGAAAATTAGAAACATGTGTATCAATGAACTCATGAAGCAAATCAAGGTGGAAAGCAGAATGACCCTCAGATGGATGCTTTAAAGCATCAAAAATGTTAAACCGATCCACTTTATCATCGAATTCCATAGAAAGTGTCCGAGCATGGACATCAATCTTGGTTCGGGCTGTTCTCAAGAATGGTCTCCCCAAAATAATTAGAACTGTGTTACTGGGGGATCCCTCTTATGTAAGACTGCGATTGCAACTAATAGGGGGGGGGGGGGGGGGGGTGAATTAGTTGTTGCAATAAGTATGACCAATTTTTCTGCAATATCAAAGTTAACGTGCAGCGGAAATAATATGCAGAAAAATATTGACTTGGGAAGGATGAATAAATAATAAAGAGAAGGGAAAGAGAGTACACAGGTGTTTTATACTGGTTCACCTTCTTGTCCACCGAAGGCTATGTCCAATACTCTTGACGCGCAAGAGATTCCTTTATTAAATATAATGAGTTGCAATTATAAATATCTCACCCTGAGATCTCCTTGTACCTTACACACTCACTTATATCTAATCCCCTTGGAAAAACTCTATTCCAAGTCACACCCTTGGTAAACACTATACCAAGTTACTCCCTTGGTAAACACTATACCAAGTCACTCACCCATTCTCTTCACACCCTTGTGAAAGAAAGTAAACTTTGCAAAAGTGAAGAATGTACAATTTGGCTTGGATTGCCTTACAAGTGTATATGACAATTTTTAGAACTTACAATCCAATAACAACTCATATACTTAAGATAATAATGCTCTTTAACACTTAGAAGCAACTTCAAAATAACTTTGAAAGTTTACGAGTAGGTTGCTTGAAAAGTGTAAGTAAAATCAGAAAGTGTGAGAGCTTTTAAAGAGAGTTTGAAATCTGAGTTGTTTGTATGTATTGTTGTATATTGTTGTATATTGTGAGAGTGTTTTAATGCCTTTATATAGGCTTCTAATCAACCACAATACCCTTAGGCATGAGTAGGTTTCGTTTGGAATGAAAAGCAATCAGTTTGGAGTGAAACCTCTTCACTTGAAATCTGAAAAACTGATGCAACAACTCTCAGTAATCGATTACTGCAAATGGATAATCGATTATCCAACAATCCTGTTAACAACCTTTTGAAAATTCAGACAGTGTAATCGATTACTGGATTTGAGTAATCGATTACTCAACAACACTGTTTGACAGCTTTGTGAATTTGCCTTAGCGTAATCGATTACACTACTTTGAGTAATCGATTACCCTGTTTTCTAAAAGTGGTAATCTGTTACTCCAAAGTCTATAATGGATTACTCATAGCTGTTAGAGATTTGAAAACTCTTTTCTCACTCATGTAACTTGTTACTCAAGTATGGTAACCCGTTACATGTTTTTTTTTGAAAATTATTTTTATTCACACTTAGTTTTTCCTGATTTTCTTGAGAACAATTTTGAGCATTGTTAACTAAGTAAATAAAAGGAGTTGTAAGGATAGAAGTACCTAAAGATTTAGACTCTGAATCTTGAAGCTTTATCTTCGATAGTCTTTTTGTCGGTCTTCTTCCTTTATTATTTTTGTGATATTGGTGTCTTCATCAAAACCGTGCCAAGGTCAGGAGCAAGATCTTCTTCACATCTTCCATATCAAGAATGTAAAAATCAGCAGGAAAATCAGTTGATCAACCCGAACCAAGACATCCTCTACCAAACCGGCAGGATATGCAATACTCCTATTTTCTAATTGGATTACCACACCCATAGGTTGCAAGGGTCTAAGTGAAAGGAATTTAAACACATTCATAGGCATAACATTAATGGATGCTCCTACATCAAGCATGGCATTTTCAAATTTTCTTTTACCTATTATGCAAGGTATAGTAAATGTACCTGGGTCCTTACACTTTTCAGGGATGTGAGGAGCATGCATACCTATCATCGCTGAAACATTCCCTCCCATGCTGATTCTTTCATTACCTTTCAGCTTCCTCTTGTGAGTGCACAACTCTTTCAGAAACTTGGCATATCTCAGAATTTGCTTGATGGCATCAAGAAGAAGTATCTTCACCTCAATCTTTCTGAATGTATCCAAGAAGTCCTTGTCCAACTCTTCCATATTTCCCATCTTTTTGGTTGGAATGATTTTTGGTGGAAATAGAAGAGGAATGGAAAATATTTGTTGTGCAGCACTCGAGGAAAGGTGATTTGCATGAGTTTCTCTTGTTGTGTTATCATTTTCTTCTAAAACAGATTTATTCCTTTTTGATGAATCCATGTCATGTTCTTTTTGTAGCATAAAATCTGTTCTAGGTGTAGGTACTTTAGTCTGTTTGCCTGATCTGAGAGTGATGCCACTCACATTTCTTGGGTTAAGCACATTATGAGAAGGTAACTTGTCAGAATTCTGTGACTGCAACGTGTTTAGTGAAGTAGCCATCTGCACCATTTGGGTGGTTAGATTCTGAATGGAAGACTCTTGTCTCTGAATTGAAGCTCTGGTTTCTTGTTGGAATTGCATATTTTGCATCGCCATCTGCCTCACCAATTCTTCCAATGAGGGTTCAACAGGTGCAAGATTGTTAATCATTTGGTGCCTCTGTTGTTGAATTGGTGGGGGCACATATGATGGTCTATTCTGCCCAACATTATTATGAAATGGTGCTTGATTTCTCCATCCAGGTTTGTATGTGCTAGATGAAGGTGGATTATAAAGTTGTTGCTGATGTGGAGGTCTGTTGTTGTAGATGTTTGCAGCATACGCCTCAAGATGATCACCAGTTATTGGCTCAAGCAGAGAAGGGCACACATCACTATGATGACCAGTTGAGGTGCAAATGCCACATACTCTTGCCATTGAAGATTTTTGCTGATTCATGGCTAATTGAGTGATCAAGGTGGTGAGGGAGTCAATTTTGGTCTCAAGCTTGTCTTGCCTTGCTGCATTTGTCCCAACATCATAGACTCCTCTAACAACTATGGCATCACCACTCCTTGCATTGAATTGTTGAGAATTGGAAGCCATCTTCTCAATCAAACATCTTACCTCAAAAGGAGTCATGTCTCCAAGTGTACCACCACTAGTAGCATCAATGATACTTCTATCCATGTTGTTCAGACCCTCATAAAAATATTGCAGAAGGAGTTGCTCAAAGATCTGATGATGAGGGCAACTTGCGCACAACCTCTTAAATATCGCCCAGTACTCATACAAACTCTCACCATGTTGGTGCCTAATTCCAGATATGTCCTTTCTGATTGTAGTGGTCCTGGCAGGATGGAATAATTTACCCAGAAATGACCTCTTCAGGTCGCCCCAACTTGTGATGGAACCATAAGCTAAATAGTACAACCAGTACTTTGTAGGGCCTTCAAGTGAATGAGGAAAGACCTTTAGACAAATGTGATCCTCCATAACATCATGTGGTTTCATGGTTGAGCAGACAATGTGGAACTCCTTAAGATGTTTATAAGGATCCTGACTTGCAAGTCCATTAAACTTAGGCAACAAATGAATTTGTCCAGTTTTTAGCACATATGGTACATAAACAGAATGGACATAATGGTCAAAATTAGGAAATGCAACAAAATGCACAGAATCACTATATTCAGAATGCACATAAACAAAATGCTCAAGTAGTATTTTCAGCAACATGATGTTCAGAAATAGATAGAAAATTAGTATCTAAAGTCCTATTTTGTCTAACTAACCTATGATATGTTCTATCAATTTCGGGATTTATTGAATGCAAAATGCGTCTATTCCTCCTAGTCATGCATTATAGTCAACAATAGGAACAAAGTACGACAGTAATGGAAATGCATGTTATAATTGTAGAATAAACCAAGTATTTGCATCAATAACATCCTAAAATCATATAGAACATGTACCAAAAGTTTCTGAAAGTGTGCATGTCAAGAGGAACACTTTGGAAAGCTCTCCTTATATGTCTTGGTTTTGATGAGGACAACTTGTGCTAATAAGAGCTTGAAGATCATCAACAAATCAACATGCTTAAGCCTTCCGATTGGTACCTTGCTTAGACTAGATTAGTTTAGGTTGAGTCCAAGGCTTAAGTCACCTAATACATATCTCAATTGCATAAATCTTTTAAATCTTTTTCATCTTGAGATATGTCATTCATAATATGTTCATGCATCATATAAATACATGTACATGTGCATTCTAGGCATAATCTAAGTATTAAACATGTATGAATTTAAGTGCATAACATATTTGAAGTTTTTACACATGAAAGAGTGCTGTTAATCGATTACCACTTAGGTTAATCGATTAATCTAACTGTTTGCACAGTGTAATCGATTACAACAAATGTTAATCGATTAATCTAACATTTTTGTGAAGCTTAATCGATTAAAGCTGTCGTTAATCGATTAACTGGGCTTTAAAATCAATTCTTTATAAACTGCATTTTCAGAATTGATCTCATAAGTTGCATGTTAAATTTTTAGAGAGTTAGAGCATTTTTTTCGTGTTAATTGTTGCATCTAGTTGTAAATGCATTTGTGAGCTTAGAAAAGAGAGAATTCTATGCTTTAGGATTGAGTGCTTTTCATGATACATTTCTCATCTTTTCTTGTCACATGTTCTTGCATTTTTACATGATTCTTGATTAGATGTTTACATATTATGCATTCTGTTTTTCACTAATACATTTTTCATACTGCATGAGCTTGTATTAGGTGATTAGAGTAAAGCCTTATCTTGTTAGATATAAGTCTTGTTATAGCTTAAGTTTACTCTGTATTGCTTTGTTTGAAAAAGTGTTGTAATTGTGGGAATCTCAAGGTGTCATATCACCAAGAGATTGAGTGTGTCTTCACTGAGTGTTAGACTTAGGGATAAGTAAAGAACAAGGTTCTTGGCTGGGGCTACGCCGAAAGAAAGGTTTTCTTTGTCGGTAGGAAGGGAGTCAAACCATAGAATAGGTTTCTTTTTATCTTGTAAGTGTCTAATTGTTGTAATTGGATAGTGTGTATGTAATTAACATTCATTCAATTATAGTGAAGAAAAATCTCCCAAATCAGCCGGGAGGCCTGGATGTAGTTTGCGGTGGACAAGCAAACGAACCAGGATAAAATTCTTGTTGCAGGATTTTTTCTATCCCTCTCTCTTTATTGCATTTGATCGATTAATTTGTTTAGTAGATTTAATTGATAATCTGTTTCTATACTGTATTGCTTGTACTCTGATAAAATTCTGTAAGCTTAGTATAATCGTTTCATTATCAATTAATTGTCGCGCAAGAAACTGTACTTGCATCTGCTTACTGTCACGGTTTAATCGATTAAGTGTGGTGTGTTAATCGATTACTTCAGTCTGTTAATCGATTAAGTGGACTGTGTTGAAAGTGTTAATCGATTACCCTGTTTCGTTAATCGATTAATCAAGGTGTTTTTTAGCATTAAGTGTTGTTTTCGAAAAGCGGACATTCTAACCGCTACACCTATTCAACCCCCCCCCCCCTTCTAGGTGTATTGTAACCACTGATACCTAACAAGTGGTATCAGAGCTAGTGCGAAGTGCTAGCTCAACCGCGTATTCGTGATCCTTAGGGAAAAAGGAATGGGTTCGTCAAACCCATTTGGTGGTGATGGTTCATCCATTAATCGACCACCTATATTCAGTGGTGAAGGGTATGCCTACTGGAAAGTCCGCATGCAAATTTTTATTGAAGCCATAGACTCGGATATTTGGGAATCCGTAGTCAACGGCCCTTTCGTTCCACAGCATCTTGTGGACAATGAACCTAAAGACAAGCCTAAAAGTCTATGGACCGATGATGAGCGCAAAAAGGTGCAGCATAATCTACGTGCCAAAAATATCATCACATCGGCCCTATCCTATGATGAGTTCTTTAGAGTATCGCAGTGCCAAAATGCAAAAGAAATGTGGGACACTTTACAAGTGACTCATGAAGGCACTAGCGAAGTCAAGTGCGCTAGATTAAACGCGCTTACCCATGAGTATGAGTTATTTCGCATGTTACCTAGTGAATCAATTTGTGATATGCAAAAGCGATTTACTCATATTGTTAATCATTTAGTTGCTCTAGATAAATCTTTTGCCAGAGGTGAACTAACTAATAAAGTTTTGCGTTGTCTTGACAGGAAATGGCAACCAAAAGTAACTGCAATTGTTGAATCCAAAGATTTGGATTCTATGCCTCTAGCTACTTTATTTAGAAAACTTCAAGAGCACGAAATGGAATTGGGGCGCTTGACTATGCACGAAGATTCAGATCGGAAAAAGAAAAACATCACATTGAAGGCCACGACCTCCAAATCAAAAGAAGATAAAGATGATGATGAATCTGACTCCGATCTAGATGATGAAACTATGAATCTCCTTGTTCGCAAATTTAGCAAATTCATCAAAAGAAAAGGAGGATTCAAGAAGTTTCAGAAGAAAGAAGCGAAAGAGTCAACCAACAAAGGCAAGAACAACAAAGATCGCTTCACTTGCCATGAGTGTGGAAAAGCCGGACATATGAGATTTCAATGTCCTACCTATCTGAAAAAGGTTGATTCAGAGAAGAGCACTCCCAGGGAATTCAAATCCAAGAAAGCTTACATTGTATGGGATGTACCTGAGGAGGAAACAACATCAAGCACTTATAGTGAGGAGGAGTCAGCGAAGCTGTGTCTGATGGTCAGATCTGACAACAATGGCAACTCAGACTCACACGAGGATAATGATGAGGTATATTCCGACACCTCATCCACTTCGGATGACTTACCCTCTTATGAAGTTTTATATAATGCTTATGTTGAGTTACATGAGGAATTAAAGAAATTGGCTAGAATAAATGTTGATAAGAAAAGGGAAATCCTTAGAAATGAAAAGAAACTAAGCCAATTACAAAAAGAATTAGATGAATTAAAATTAGAAAATGAAACTTTAGATCTCATCTATTCTTGTAACACATGTGACTGCTCTGCTGATAATTTATGTCAAAAGCCTGTATGTGAGACTTGCGAGATTTTGCAAGAAGACAATCTTAAACTAAAAGAAAAACTCGAACGTCTCACAAATAGTAAACAGCAATTAGACACTCTGCTCAGTCAAACAAGAAACGTTGGTGATCGTACTGGTCTAGGTTATACTCGCTCTGCTAAAAACAAGAGACCATATAGAAAACCTGTAGTTAATACTAAGGATAAAAATCGTAGGCGCTCTCCTACATGTTTTTATTGTAATACGTATGGTCATACTTCTTACTCTTGTTACATTAGAAAATATGGTATACCTAGCGGGGCTTACATATGGATAAAGAAGGGAGATAATTCCCTAATCACTAACAGAAAAGGACCCAACATAATTTGGGTACCTGAGAAAAGCAGGTGATCTATTTTGCAGGTATGTCTTCGAACACAAGGACAAAAATGGTATTTAGACAGTGGATGTTCGAGACATATGACAGGTGACAGATCAAATTTCCTGGATCTATCACTTAAAGGAAAAGGATACGTCACGTACAGAGACAACAATAAGGGAAAGATACTTGGTACCGGAACAATTGGTAACTCATCTCATACTCAAATTGAAAATGTTCTGTATGTTGAAGGACTAGAACATAATCTTCTGAGTATAAGTCAACTCTGTGACAAAGGTAATCGAGTATCTTTTGATTCTGACTGTTGCATCATTCGTGACATTTTATCTAATAATGTTAAATTTGTTGGTCATCGTATAAATAATATTTACATGGTTAACTTGGATGATGTCACCACATTATTTTCAAAATGTTTCATTTCTAAAGAAGATGACATCTGGCTATGGCACAGACGCGTTGCACACATCCATATAAAACATCTAGATAAATTATCATCAAACCAACTAGTTGAGGGGCTACCAAAACTAAATTTCAAAACTAAAGAGATTTGTGACACTTGTCAAAAGTGTAAACAAACCAAAAACTCTTTTAAAAACAAAAATGTGATATCCACTTCAAGACCTTTGGAGTTACTCCATATGGACTTGTTTGGACCATCACAAATCATGAGTTTTGGTGGTAGCTACTATGCTCTAGTTATTGTTGATGATTTCTCTCGTTTTACATGGACATTATTTTTATCTGCTAAAAGCGACACTTTCAACTCTTTTAAAAATCTTGCCAAGCAAATCCAAAACCAACTTAACCTGAAAATAGTATATATACGAAGTGATCACGGGGGAGAATTTGAGAACTTTCAGTTCGACAAATTCTGTGATAAGCATGGCATTATGCATCAGTTCTC